AAGTTCTCCGGAATATAAGAAGGCTCACCAAAGATGACTAAGCTGACTGGGATATCCCATGACCTCAACGAAATGCTTGTTGACGATCCTGAATACCTATATCTGCATCTTGAAATGATGTAGGCCAAATGTCTTAGTACATGGAATGTACGAGTATGTAAGGGGTATTCTAAAGCATAAACATAGGCATGAACTTGATAAAAAGGAAACATACTTACCTCTTCTCAACTCACTCAACTAAACTCAACTCAAGAATAAGATACAACTCAAAGATATGATACTCAACTCAAAGGTACTCAACTCAAGATATGATACTCATAATGCTCAAGGATAAAGCAACAGTAAAAGATGCACAATATATGCAAACCTTTTAAAGCAGTAGATAACAACTCAATGTATTGAAGAATACAATAATAACTCAGCTTATATATATATAAATAGAATATAACTATGTGAGAGTTTCTCTAACCCACAACCATCACTATGAGTTATGTGATGATACAACATCTCACCCACGCTGCCAGAACTGTCTTATACTTTGCCGGAGTATAGAACCTCTCAACTAAGTGGATCCACATTGCTATGCTAAAAAGCATTAAGGAATCATCTATAAAGTATAACCCTTTCTACCCACGTTGGCTACATGGTTTATAGGGGCTGTGAGTTATCTGAACTCTCTGCCATATCGGTGCTTAATACTACTCTCAAAATATACTAGCTCATATATTCAAAAACATAACTTTTTATGTGGTTTGAGATTATTACTCAAAAATCATTCTCTTAAAATAGATGGTACTCAAACTACTCAAAACTCTTTTTGAAATCTCAGTTTCCTCTCATCTTAAATGTGAAAACATTTACCCTTGGGAATATTTAGTTCCCATATATCATTTTAAAGAAAATGAACTCAACTCTGCTCTTTCTCAAAACCATTTCAAAATCATATTATATTATGATCATTGATGACTCGGGGAGTTATATTTCATAAACATTGATGGTATATCTAGATACCATACTGCTCATACATTGATGACATTCTCGATTGTCATACTAATAATATTTTAGAAAACTCTTTTCTCAAAACTCATCTTTACTTTCTCAAAACTCAGTTTAAGAACTCAAGTAGTGGCTTTAAAAAACTTTTTAAAATTTATAACTCAAATCATAGGGTTCATGTGGAATTATGAACATGAACGACTCAACTTAGGGATCTTAATAGCAATAAAGAACCTCAGTACTCAGAACTCAAGACTCCATGATACTACTCATCTCTATACTTCTCGACTCATAGGGTTCATGCAGAATTATGGGCATGAACAACTCAACTCAAGGGCTTCATGGGTAACATGTAGTAGTCCCATAATTAGAAATATAATCTCAAAAGGATTAGAAACTCAATGCTCAAAGACTTAGAACTCAAAGATACTACTCCTCTCCAAGATGCTTAATGTATGAAGTTCATGCAGAATTTATGGGCATGAACGACTAGATTCAAGGGTCTACATAACAATATGGAACACATGTATGCGACTCTTCTCATTCTCATACTTACTTCCACAATACTTAGCTCAAATCGATAGTTGATCTCAAAGGATTCACAATTGAACTCAAAGACTTTCTATAACTCTACTCTTAACTCTTTCTTGAATTTGAATTATAAATTCAAGAGTTATGATTCATGATATGAAGGATCTCAATAACAATATAGAAATTCGATAATTACGAATAGAAATTTTAAAAGAAACATGAACTCAAGAACTCAAAATCAACTTATCTCAACAATACTCAAATCTAGAGGTAGAATTCTAGATTTCTCTTTTACTGATTTGAAAGTAGATGTAGGGCATGAGGATGAACTAGTCCAACACTATGAAAGCCTTACATACGTGGAAGAACAAGGTTCTTGAAGAATCCTGAAAGGATCTTGAAGAAGAACTTGATTACAAGCCTTGAAACTCTAGCTTGAAGGTAAACAATCAAGAAAACCTTTCTTGAGATTCTTCGATTAGTTTCTTGAAATCTTTATGGCCAAGAATTATGATTTTCATTAGTGATTCGTAATTGTATAGGGGAATTTGAGTTGATAAAAATGGAATTCTTGGAGAAAGACTTATCTTAAAGAAGAATCTTGAAAAAGATTGAAAGAATCTTGAATGAAGTCTTCTACTTTAATTTTTCCTTAGGGTTTTTCCCTAAGGTTTGAGAGAGAAGAGAATGATGGATTAGAAGATGAAAATTTGATTGTTTTGAGCCTTTTATTAGTCAAGAAAATCGTAACAGCACTGTATAGGTTACTAAAATAGTCATAACTTCTTACTCAGAAATTGGATTGATGCGAAATTGGTGGCGTTGGAAAGTAGATTCAAATACCTTTAATTTAATAGGTTATGACACACGTAACTCTTTATATTCTAAGAGATAAGCTTGTTTGAAGTTGACCCAAGTAAAATCTTATATCAAAACTTAATCGATAAGAAAACTTCAAGAACAATTATCAAGAACTTATCAAGAAATTAAATTGGTCAATATTTATGGATAGATTCACAAAAGAAATTCATTATTAGCATGTGCGTGAATGAACCCAACACTATGGAAGCTTACATACCTCAAAGAACTAGGTTCTTGGCGAAATTTTGAATTTCTTGAACGACGCTTGAAACTTTAAACTTTTTCTCCTCTTGAATCTTCTCTCTAAAATCCTAAATGTTTTTGGGGATGAATGAAACTAGTTCTAATCAGTTTAGACTCCTAAAACCTTACTAAATATGCTTAAAGCCGATTGGGTAAGGAAAAGACCAAAATACCCCTCATATTTTCAGGTAACTATCCTTAATTGGACAGCCCGACTTCAAACGGGTATATCTCTCTCATACGAGCTCGAAATTTAGCAAAATCAATGGCGTTGGAAAGATAATTCGAAGACCTTTCATTGGATATATTATGGGCCACCTAACTCATTATGTACTAAAGGTTATGGTCATTTTTAGTTGACCCAAAACTTAGAAGAACCTAAGAATGACTTGAATGAATTCTCTTTAATTCTTTTTGGAGCTCAAGGTGCTCTATCTAGTGATCTTAATACTTAAGAAATTTTGAATTCCTTGGTAAAATCCTACTCTCCACGAAGGATGGTTCGAGTCTTAGTTCAAAAAAATTCTGAAGTGTTACAATAGGTAGTCTTTACTGGTAAGAAATGAGTTGATTTAGTCACCCCATATACAATCACCCAAATCCTCTACTTTTTTCACGATGCTATCAATTGAAGGCCAGCATATGTTACTAGCAATGTTAAATGCAAAATGTACACCACCTTTTTCCAAAAAAAAATTAAAAATGGTAAGCATTGATAAAAAAATGAATATTGGGTCAAACTTAACACTGAAAACTAGCTAAAGGACGATGTGGGAGACTCAACACCCCTGCCTACCAATTGGAGCATGAACAAAAGAAATGAACTCCACACGAAGAATTGGGATGGATTTGAATGGAGTCCCTAAGGCATAAGCAGAGGAAGAACTATTTTGTACATAATTGATCCATTCGAGATGTTATAGCTATTTTTTCCTACCATGTTGGACTTGTATATTTATTCAAAACTTGTATAGCCTTATCTTTTTGCAAAACAACTATTGGCTGTAATTTGGAAGAGAGGGATGAGGTTAACATCCCTCAACTTTTTAATTTTATTCATTAATATAAAGGCCACATCACCATATGGTTAAAATAAAAAACTGAAAACACCAAACTTACTTCATCACTTGTGTAGTTCCTTGAGTATAACACGTTGTAAAAATGATTCTAGTATCTCAAAAGGAAGTATTCATATTATTATCTATATTCATTATATTAAATGGGTGTTAATGCCTTTCTAATTATCTTATAAATTAATATTCTTTTTGGTCGAAATATAGTCGTTGCCAACATTAATTTCTTGAAATAAATTGCTTTCAATTCTCTATGTCTTCAATGCTTTTAAGGTTTTGGTATTTCAAGAGTTGGCAGAGGATTAGATGGCCTTTGTTTTCTATATAAATGTTCTGGTGGAGAGCAGAAAGAGAGAGGGCAGTTCTTCTTCTTCTTTTTATTCTAGTGTTGGGTTCATATTATTGAATCTTTGTTAGTTTCTGGCACCTAGTTTTATACTAGAAGAACTTGTTGAATCTTGAGAGATACACCTATACTGGGTGAAATATCTGTAATGACAGTTTCTAACACGCCTCAAGCTTTAAAGAATTTCGTACAAGTATTCATGAAGAAGGTATTTTCCATAAGATTTGCACAATCTTAAGGATATCTTCATTATGTTCTTATGGAAGATACTAGAGGTTCTACTCGGAAAAAAAAAGAAGCCATCGAAAGGGGAGTTTGACAGCTAACAAAGAGATGGATCTCCATTTCCCGTTGATGGCAATATCTATCAAAGTTAAAACACCTAATGACACAAACTCACACAAGAAGTCTTGGGGCCCAAACCAACCATATGCCTTGCCTAAAATGGCCCGTACGAAGTTTATGAAACAATCAAAATTGTATTTTGAGGTTGTCTTCCTAAACTTTTGACCGAAATCATCTGTCCATGTTTCAAAAGCTCTAAAACACAGAAACTTGTACAAAACCCAAACGAACGACCCGACGATCATTTTATCAGTCCCAGCAAGTCATAAATTACTTGGGTCACTACAGGAAAGCTCTAAACGCTAAAAAGATTTTAAAAAAAAACAAAGAAAATGACTTGGAGGATCATTACACAAAATTCATAATATCTTACATATACTTAATAGAAATGCATCAATCCACGGAAAGAGGTAGCATATATATCTAACCTTATTTAGGGATTGACAAACATAACATTATTTATTGGTTTTCATACATAATTAATATGTATATTCTCCAAACATAAAATTTTATTTCATACGCTAGGTGAAATAGCAAAATACTCATCACACAAGCACAAACACACGCACACATAATGTATTGAAACATTAAACATCATAAATTTCTTATATTTTGATAAGGTGATCCTCCATATCCTTAATTGAATCAAGGAAAAAATCAAAGTCAGTGAGGGGCTCGGGGATATCGTCAGTTTTCTTCTCATACACAAATGTCAATGTAGTCCATTGGTGTTCACTGGATGTGATAACAATTAAGGAATTATACAACTCTATAACATTTCTTTCAATCACTTTCCAAGTGATTGATTTATTTTGAGGGTTGACGACTTCAATCACTTGCTTAAGAATTTTTTCTTTTCCATCTGTAATCATTTGAATCAGAGAATTCAAGAGATGTTAATCCTAAATAAAATGTTCAATTCCTTGTAAAACTTCTAGACTAACACAAAAGAATGTATCTTCATCTAATTATTTATTTTGTTTTTCCTCACTTTTCACATTGGGGAGGATATGGAGATCAGTGGGACATGTATAAATTTGGTTATACTATGTTTGGTATGACTGAAGTAATTTTAATTGAAATGTTTCGTTGCAAAGTGTTTGAAAAATATTTCCAGATGTTTAATTAGCAAGTAAAAGATGTACTACGAAAATCATATATTGAATACTAATAATATTAATAAATCATAGTGTTTTAATTTAATGGAACTTTAGAGTGATAAAAACTATAATAATATTTAAGTGTCAAGTGAAACAAGTAAAAACTAATGTTAAATAACTTCCACCCAAAAGGTAAAGAAGTTCACTTTTTCCTTTATTTATGAAAAATATTTTACTTGGAATTTTATTTTATTTTTTGTAATCAAAACACGGTCATACTAAATTACTTTCTCTCGGAAATAATTTTTTTGAATATTGACTTTCGTAATATAAAATACACCAAACAATAAAAAATTTAATGCAAAAAAAGCATATTGTGTGTGAGAGAGAGAGCAGAAAAATATGTGTTACCCTGGTTATATTTTAAGCTAACAATCGAACCAACGTTTATGGTTTCACCTTCATGAATTTCAAAATGCTTGTACTTAGTAGGGTTTATATTGGGTATATGATGCGTATTGGTGTGAAACATATCATGAATCGAGTGTCCTCCACACCTGACCTCAATTGAAGCAATCAACTTTCCTTTCACGCCCATTATTTCTTCTCCTTGGAATAGCAATAAGTTGTAAGAAATAAAATTGTGAGAAAATGTTTAGAACTTGTAGCCTATATATAGATTCTACTTAGCTGTAAAATTCAAGCTTATAATAAAAAAATTGTCACATATGAATATTCTATTATTATTTGTGGCGCTGGAACATTAGTGTTAGTTCATTAATTTTATATAAAATGAGGTTTTATTTTGGTTATAAATTTAATTTTCACGGTCAAATATAGGTGTCCCTGCTAATTAGGCAATTATGAAGATATTTTTACAATCTTAAATTTTTTCTTGTAGGTTTGGCAGATCAATTGTGCTAATAGATTTCAGAAAGAAAATATAGTGTCCTTGTATAATTGTTAACTCCGCCCTATGTTTTTTGGATCAAATTCGGTGACAATTCTCCATTGATGCCCTTTCAGAGTTGGGTAAGTGATCTTCAAGGGCATCTCCCTGATCCATTCTTCCCAACGCCCCTCAATCAAATACATAATTGTTATTGCTTGTGCAGCAGTAACTAGAGAACTTCAAATTGCAATAAAAAAGTTGTCAACTAAGAAAAACCGAAAGTCCATGCGAGTCGGGCTGACATTAACCAAAAAGATACCCTCCTCAAAAGGGCCTGAAATCACGGAGACCTGTGACCCTGGTTTAGTAATGAATGAACGGAAGCTCTCTCCGCTAGCGGCTTATGCAGTGGTCGGCCTTATAAAGCTCGTTAAGTCTCGCTTCCCTCTCTCCTTCACTTATTAAGTAGAAAATAGTCGTCGGCATTCTATAAGCGACTTGACCACCCTTGAATTATAGCAGGAGCAACCTCAATTGTCGTACCCAGGTGCCGGTCTCTAGAAGCTTCTGGAATGTTCAATTTAAGTGCATATGTATACACTAATTTATACATGGGTTCCGCTTCGGGGAAGACGAGTTGACTCCACAAACCAGAAAATGCCTCGGATATTCCATAAATGCCCAGGAAAAACAATTCATCAGTTATTGAATCATGCCATTTTGTTGATTCAACTTTCTTCCTTCTTAGCTATATTCTAATATAACTCTTTCAGTGCTTAAAAGATGCTTCAGCCGAAGGATCATGCTAATTACATGATTCAACTTACTCTTCTCAGGAAGCTCATTGGGAGTATCTTTCTTATAGGTTTGGGACCACTAGAAATATTTATACACGGGTTGTAATTGGAGATTCATAAATAATTATACACATTTTCACTTTTATAGTGGAAAACTTGCCTCTGCTTCTGCTTGAAGGATTAATTAGTTGAATCTCATTAAATCCTTGTATTTTTCTTCTCTATTTGTTTTATATGTAATTCTGTGCTAGTCAGCTCACTATCTTTTTGCAATAAACGATATCATAGTAAAGCTAGGATTTTCTATATATAATCAAGGGTTTGTGCCGTGAGTTGTAGTCATAGGTATAATTTTTGATCTCTTAATTTTTGTGAAACTTTTCACTCCTGTCCACAAAAGAATTGGTTTGCAGCTTATAAGCAAACAAGTATGTGTGTCTACCTGGCTAGGTGGTGATAATCCATTAACAATACAGAGGATTGGTAACAATAAATTGAGAATGTTCGGTGATTTTATTAGAAATATTGAGTGCGACCATGATGCTCAAATGAAGAGAAATTTACTTTTTGTTTCGACTTTAGATGATCAAGGATATAATTTTAACTCAGATAATGGCACTCTTAAAGTGTGTAAGGGTTTCATGATATTTATGAAGGATAAGTGCATTCTATAGTGTAGTTGATGATAAAGTAGTTGTAGCTTCTGAAAAGAGTGATCTGAATCAGTCTCATTTGTGACACTTGCGGCTTGGTCATATAAGAAATAAGGAATTGTCTTTGTGAAACTGAATTTTGGAAGGATATAAAAATCAACTTTGTGAGCATTGTGTGTCTAGTAAGCAAACAAAGTTGAAGTTCAACAAGAAAACAATAACAAAAAAATATATTGTCACTGACCGCACATATCTGGAAATGGAATATCTAGTAGCTTAGCCTAGTAGTTCATAAGTGCAAAATCTTAATCAAAATGATAATGCTGATGCACCTATGCAACAATAGTCATACAACACTGTAACATTCAGATTGAAGAGAGTGATCAACCGATCAAAAAAGTTCATAAATGTAGTTGATGAGAATCTTCTTGTATGTTTAAATATTGGGTAATTTAAAAGTAAATCAATGGGTTTGTACTATAGATGAAGGCATTGATTCATTTTACAAGAAACAAACATGGATGTTTGGTTCATTATATTGCATGAGGAACAAAAGGTAGCAAACTATAAAGGGGTTTTTGACGTGAAAAATGTGTTTATATATGATAATTCAGAAGATATGATGACAAAGATAGTCTCAACCAATAAGTTTAGATATTACATCAACTTGATTATTGTATGCAGTACTAAGGAGACACTTTCTAAAACTGGGGACAAAGCAGAGAAACATTAGTATTGTTGATGAAGAGAATTCAAACAAAAGGGAAGATTTCTTAATTATATATTGAATGTTTACTTCTATATTTAGAAAATTCATAATCCCTATCTATTTAAAACAGTCGGTGTCTTAACAGATTTGAGAAAGGAAAATAGATTGTCCTTGTATGATTTGGAGAACCTTTCTCTAATAGATTAGGAACTACTTTAGTGTAATGAAACTCGCATTCATTTGCTTACTTTTGTATTTATTTCTTGTTTTTCTCCTTACCATAATTTCTTTGTAGTGTTTGGGATGGGTGGAATACTTCTCGATGTGGTCAGGAGAATTTTGAGTGAGCTTATCCACTTTTGGGGCTTTTATGTTGAAAGAGTTGACATTAGTCATCATATAGAAAATCTGACGTCGTATGAGATTTTTGTCTATTCTATCAATTCTGCAAGGTCTATTTTGAGTAGGTAGCATGGCTGGTTTGGATTTTGAGGTATTCAATGTGAGTTTAAGCCGCTAGGAGAGTTGTTTGGGCAAGTTTGACAGAGGATTGACTTCGGTCCAAATTCTTGGTAAATAGACTCGAATGAGATTTCTGAAAGCAAAGTTAACTTCGAAATGTCAAGTTTTGTCTAGAACAGTCTTTTGTTTGATTCCAAGGTGTCTGGGATGACTTTTTGGTGTTTTGCATTATGCTTGTTTTGGTTGTTTTTGTTTAGGAGTTGACTTGGGTAAAAATTCTGACGAGACGACCTCTATTTATCATGTTGTCTGTTCTGTTGAGTTGAAAATGTCATTTTCAATGCGGCAGCTAATGAGTTGGTATTTTGTCAACTCATTTGACCACTTTTGCGGTCATTGTTAGTGTTATATCTCTCTCATCTTCTTCATTTTTTATAAGTTGAACAGGTGGATTAGAAAGGCCGGTCTTGAGAAAAAATTTCATTCCTTGGTCATTTCAGTTGATTCAAAGGTAATTTCCTTCTCCATTGCTTTCCATTACGTATTATACCTTCATTTTTGTGATTTGATTGCATTTTTAAGCTCAAATCCTTGATTGTTTTATTTGAAATTCAGTGTTTGGACCATTTGAAGTTCAAATAAATTTCATCTTCGTCCTACTTCGGGTCATGTGTTCCTCACGTCGAGCAAAACATAAAACGAAGTTAGTTTTTCATTTTGTTGTCGAACTTCGAGGATCTATTTTTTATTCGATTTTTTGTAACATTGACATGGGTATAGTTAGTCCCTTATTGCTGTGTATATTATATTTTTGATAGTGTGGTAGGGTTTTGAGGCTCTTCAACATGGAAAGGTTTCTGGTTCAAGTGTGATTTTGGCTTCGAGGTAGATTACGGTCCACTCTTTTAGACTTAGCTTAGATAGTACCATATAAATTGAGTTGCATTTTCGTTAGAATGGTTTTATGTATGTATGATCCTTGCTTGTATTTTTTGCCAGTTTTGCAATGTTAGACTGCCTTTTTAGCCATAAAAACTTAGATTAGGATTAGCCTTGGTCTTTATTGGCAAAATAGGATCCTTAGAATGCTTCTAGGTAGCTTAAAACTTATATTTTAATGTGTTGATTAGTTTGGTGCGATTGTGTGCCTTTTTTTGTTATTTTCGAGCTTTTACCCTGAAATTATTGTGATTGTGGGCCTAAGGACTTGGACTGGTTGGAGTTCGAGTTAGTACTACTATACTGTGACAAGTGTTTACCCTATTAATTTTGTGATTTGATTTTACCATAAATGATTTGTTTATGATTGGCATGTATTTGGGCTCATTGCATCTACATTTGATCCCTGATAGAGTCAGGAATAAGAGATTGTGGGTTATTTTGGTTAATAAACTGATTTTGTCACGATCCAGGGTTACCCCATACATGTAACAAGGAGTATAAGACCCCAAGAGGCCTCATACAAGTCACTTAGCATATCAGAACATAGAATAATAGAAAGGTGCGGAAATTTAAAACATTTTCCAATACAATCAATGTTTCATAAAACGAAGTGGAAATGTTTTAGCACTTGTCTCAAACCATCTAATACTTGAAAGTCTAGGGACACATCCCATAAAAAAGTCTAAACATAAAAAAAAAAAAAAAAAAGATAAAGAAAAGGTGGTGAAATCCTCGATGCTATGAGGACTCACCGAATATTCACTCCTTGCTCTACTATGAACCTAGCTACTTGGATGAAAGTCAATATCGTTGGATCCTACATTTGATAAGAATGTAGGCAAGAGTATGTGTTAGTACAAAGATGTACTAAATATTATGGCTAGCATAAATCATCAACATAAGCGTAATATATGCATTAGTCAACATAAGACATATACCATAATCATAAGAGATAAAACATAAGACATAGGCTATAAGAATAAGAGACAATAAAATAAATCATAAGCATATTCAATGCACATAATCATCATCTCATAGGAGGAACACTTCTCAAGTAACCTCAACATATTCTTACTCAAGATTTGGGTTATCACCTCTAGTCGTACATATCAAGGAAGGCAAATCAAGCAACAATTCAAGCTA